ACTCAGTTGGCCATATTGCCGTAGACCTGGGCAACAGACGCACATGGACAGCTGGAAACTAGGATTTTGGGAGCTAGGATTAGGGGGACCCTTGGGGATATAGACCCTCTCAATAAGGCCCCTTTTAAGAGAGCCAAAAGTAGGGTTCAGAAGGGGTACCCTTTAAGGGGTACCCCTAATAATACTACCTATAACCGCTTGCACCGGGACTTGACTAGTGGAGGTGCTTTTGTCAAGGCCCAGGCATGGACTTTCAGGGGACTGTTTCTGTAAACCCCGATGTCCAGTACTCCCCCCTTTTGGACTTTTGGCCGCCAGCCCCAAACCCTAAACCCTAAACCTGAAATTCTGATCTTGAAGCAGGTGTGGGGTCTGGGGGTCCATAGGGCTGCAGGGCTTCGGGTCTCCCCGGCACTGGAGATCGGAGGATGGAGGATAAACATCGACAAGCATCCAACCCTACAGCCATACACCGCATGCATCCGCACCTCCACCCCCCAAAGCCTCAACTCCTGAATCGAATGCCTCCGCACACAGTAAGCCCGCCGGAGGAGAAGCCCGCATCGGCGCGGCCAGCCGAGGCCAGGACTCTTTCGGCCTTTGCCCTCGCCCGGGGGTGTGAGAGTCTCAGCGTGGGGGAGCCTCAGGCAACATGATCGAGCCCCAACGCGTTCCCTTCAGAGACCTAGAAATCTCTGAACCTCAACCCTGACTCTAAGGGTTCAAAGCACCGAAGGCCGAAGACTTATGTACTTCGGTTAGGATGGTAATTGTGCAGGTTCCTGGTTCTGGCAGTAGTTGATGATTGGTACTTGGACCCTTAGGGTATCAAGACGTGGAGGGCACTGAGAACTAAAAGCTCACGCTGGGAAGGTATCGAAGCAGCTCCCTGCCAGAGGCGCCAGTCTTCGCCAGTTACCCTGGATCAGCGGAGTAGCATGGATTTAGGATCTAAGGGTTGATGATTTTTGTAAAGCATTAGAGACAGGATGCAGGGTTTCAGGGTCTAGGATCGAGCAGGAGCTGGGTTTCTGGCCCGCGGATGCTTAGGGTAGTGGCTCTTGGCGCGGGTGGCTTGGTCATCGGTTAGGGTCCGGGGATTTGGGGTTCGGGCACGCTGCACCTTATCGTTTAGAGCCGGAGGCACAAAACAACCTCTGAACCCTATAGCTCGAACCAGGGCGCGGCAGCACATAAACGCCAAGCGTGAGGTGGGAGCCAAACGGGGCACAGGAACCTGCCAAGGATGGGGGGGGGGGGGGGGGGGTGTTGTCTGCCAAAGAAGGACTGTGCCTGAGGCTTGCTGTTCTAACCCAAAGCTTGGTGAGTTGCGCTGCCTTCGGCAGAACAGGAACCCCACATCCCCGTACTCAAACAGCTAGAATTGTAAAGAACAGATCTCCGCTGTTGCTGTCTAAAGGCCATAGGTGTGCGAACTGGACTAGCCACGAATCTTGGGGCCGGCTGGGATGAAGTCTTGTGCTGTAAAAGTTCACTACGTGGCAGTTGTTGTTTTTCTGGGTTGTCTTTTGGGATCTTTTTTTTAATTCCCCTTACTATTTTGTAGAGAACCATAATAGTAAATAATTTTCAAAGGGCTTAAAGGACAACTTAGTTTTGTTGTTGTCGTTGTTGGTGGTGTTGTTGTTGTCGTGGTGGTGCCGGTGTTGTGTACTTACTGGCGCCCGACAGATGACATATGCCTCTCCTGGATTTTCGGAGTGTGAGCGCCGAAACCATCAAATTAAGATTACACCCGGAAACGTGCCTTGTGGCAATTTTGGGGACGGGTGTTTGTTTTTTGCGGTGAAGAGCTTGCGATGGTACATAAAGGCTTCTGACTATGTGTCTTGACTGCTGCCTTTGTACTACTGCTCAGATAACCCCTCATTAGTGTAAAAGTGTACGACTATGTCTTGAATCCCACCGGTACCACTGGCCCTAGACAGACTGCCTCCAATGATTTCGACAATGGCACCCTAAAAAAGTGAAGTCCCAAAGACGGAATCTACTAATACCATGACCCTTAAACTTCATACCAACATGGTCTTCTACGACGTCATGGCTTCGTTCGTAGCAAGCAAAAGACGAGCTCTACGTAACTCTAAGCGCAAGCCCAAAGGCCTGAGGCAAAGGGGGAAATGACCAGCATCAAGCCTCAAACTCTAAACCCTGAACCCTGAATCCGAAACCCTAAACCCTAAACCCTAAACCGAACCCCCACAGCCTCTGGCTGTGTCCGAGTTGCGAGAGCGTCAACCTTAAGCCCTACCTGGACCCTAAAGAACCTCCGGTTTTTAGGGTTCCTTGTTATGATTTCCTTATACAAGTCCTTAAAAAGCAGGTTATTTGGGGTTAAGGTACACCCTAGACTTCATTCAAAGCGACCCGCCACATGACTAGGCAAAGCACCCAGCGAAGCTCCTTCAGGCTCGGGATACTTTCCCAGGTTTAGGACTTCTCGTGCTGGCTTGGGGTTTAGGGTTTTAGGGTTTAGGGTTTTAGGGAAAAGGGTTTAGGGGTTGAGACCCTGCCGCTTCGGGGATGGGGCTTTGGACGTGGATGGATACGTAGAGGGCTGGTGCAAAGCGACTAGACAGGGAACTACTATATGGGGGTTTCCGAAAATTAGGGGACCCTGATATACTACCCTAAATAGTAGGATCCTTATTACAAGGGCCCCTAAATAAGGTACCCTCATTTTCCCATATTACTCTGACCTTTGGAAGGATCGGCCTTGTCTCTTCTGCGGCTTTCACACAGTAGCTGGGTTTGAGCGAACTGGCGGCCGTACCCAGAGTTTCAAAGCAGGCGTATTCAGGAGCAGTCAGCATAATCGTTCCGCGATGCTTGCCTAAACAGTCGGATCAGTTATGTTGTTTTCATGCCCGGCGTTCAGTATGAATTCGAATGGAGCTCAGACTTAACGCAGACTGCCCGTCGTGATAGAGTGTTTGTGTTGCGCTTACTTCTGTACGTGTGAACGGCCCTAGAAAGGCCACAGCAAGAAACGCAACTAAGCTAAGCCGGAAACCCTATGATGAAACCTCGTTCGTGCACTGGCTTCTCTTCACCAGCTCTCCTCCAGCTTCCAGAGTCCTGGGTCAGGTCCATCGCAGCCCAACACGGCCAGGAGAGAAGCAAGTGGGTTTCTGGTTCGGAAAGAATTTTGAATTTGGTGTACAAGGGCACCTATGGCGGGGCCTCCACCCGCCTCTGCAGGACCTCGGTACGCAGTCGCTGCAGCGACTCAGAGGCAGAAGGCGGCAAAGGCGACCTCATCGAGGTCCCCGCTGGGGCAGCTTCGGGGCTTGGGATTTGTAGGGATCAGAACCCTAAACCCGAAATTCAGGGTTCGCTTTTGTTCGGACTTTGGGAATTCCTGAAGTTTTGTTGATTCGAACTGGTTCAGGCTCAGTCATCCGATAGAGTTGAGGGGCGTTTCGAGTTCAGGCTTCTTTTGCATGCACGGGGTTTAACTTAAAGGTCTTACGTGCTTTGAAGGTTGCTTTTGGGTTTAGGGTATGGGATGGAGATGGAAAGCTGGTGTATCCGGAGGGCGGCAATCAAGGGTTTGCTCATGCACAGTCATTGAGTATGCAGACGTGGCCTTCAGGGCTTGAGTGATTGTGGGTTTTGAAAAATGCTGTGTTGCAGCTTGAATTGATGACAATGTAGGGATTTCGGGTTCAGTATTGGGGGTTTGGGGATCTGCTGTGTTGTAATGTTTTGGGGCATTCCTCGTCTGACTGGTCCGGGTGTCAATGCCGAAACAAACCCCCAAACTGTTTATCGACTCCTTCGACGGTTAGGGTTTAGGGTTTAGGGTTTAGGGTCCTTCCGATGAAAACTACAGCCACCACATCATGCGCAAGTTGCGTTCGTTGGCCTGAGCTCGAAACCTTTTTAAAGCCTGACAGATCCGAAGCCCTAAACCATACAGCCCTAAAAACCCCCTATAAGCCCCTGCTATTCCTGCACTATTTTGCCACAGAGCCAGGTCTTCCGGGAAATGCGCTTTGTTTATTAGTCCAGTGTACTTGATCCTAGTACTTTGAAGCTGTTTTTGCGGGTCTTGATTTCCTCAAATTTCGAGTTGACTGTGCCATTTCGGTTGGGTCTAGGAGAGACGCCATCGAGACCACTGATGGCACAAGGGACCCTAGCGACACAATCGCCAGGAGAACTGCTTTAAGTACGCTGCCGTCTCAAGAGAACCCTACACCCTTGGACCTTAGGTTTCTTTGACTTCTGCTACGACGTAGTGAAGGCTTTTGGACCGGAAACCTTCAGTCATCACAGGAGCGCGAAGCTCTTGAGGAAGAAGTATGCAGCATCATGGACGTTCTTCGCCAGAGGCTTACATTTACTTCGGCAGCGATGGTGCTTTACACTTTAAAATCTCAGAACTGTGAAGGTGTTTCACATGCTTCCGACGCATTACTGATAGAGACGTTCTGGACCTGTGTGACGGCTTCTGGCTTTGGAAATGTAGCCTAAGAAGCTAGCCAAGACGGTGCCTGCAGGGTTTCCAGTTTTGTTAGCCCTCTTAGTGAGTGTTTTCTTTGGATTTTGCAGAGTGACTGCGAAAGGGACCTTATCGCTTAGCGATTAGGCAAGGGTGATGTCTTTCGCATCTCGTGTTTAGCATCTGAGGGATGATAAAATCCCCTGTTATCTCCCCTGTTATCGGGCTGAAGAGGGAGACCGTCATCAAGTTGCTAGGTTTTCGGTCTGGTCAAACGACAAGGGTACGCAAGAACGACGCTTACGGTCTTGGCTGTTAGATGTCTGAACGTATGCAGATGCTGGAAGATAAATCGTAGGGGGCAAAGTTGCAGCCATTGCAGCTGAGGGGGTCTCTACCCGGTCAGCTGATGCCCACGAGCAGCACAGAAGATGAGCGCAGAAGCACCTGCCGACTTCACTTTCGGAAGCTTGAGGGAGGCGTCATGCTACAGCCACTAATTATGTAACTTATCGTTGCTGCTTAGTCTTGGTAGCGTGGCTCTGACATGTTTTGCCTTCTGCCCGTTTTCCGACCTGACACGCTTAAGCCTTAAGACGAGAGAGGGCGGTGCTTCAGGTCCCAGTTTCAAGAGCTATGCATACGTTGGGTACCTAATACGTGTTTGAGTTGCTAGTACGTTTTACGTTGGAAGTTCTGAGAAGCGTTTGTCTAGTACTGATGCTATTACTCTAGTACCTTTACTAGAGTTACGACGTCGACGAGTTGCTACTACTCCTGCTAGTACGACTATAGGACTAGGAGCAGGACTAGGACTACCACCTTCACAACCACCTCTGCTACAGTTGCCCCCTACTACCGCCGCTCCTGCCACTCGGAGGGGTCAGGGCGAGCTATGGGATTTTCGTTGCTGTCGTTGGAGTTTCGGGGTTTGGCGTTGGAGGTTGGTGTGTCTGTGGGATGGTACGCAACCTTGCTTGAGTCGTGAAAATTTGCTAAGGGCTGCTCCCACGTCTCTCGAGCGGAGATGTAAACACCTACCTTGTAGGACCACAAGGGTCTAAATCAGGGCAGTTGCCATCTAGAAAATAGACCTCCTCCCAGCACGGCACACCGAGGGCTACTGCCATCTAGATCCTCCCAGGGGTCTGGATTTAAGGTGGCGCATTCATTGCTAGCATTTTCGGCCACTACCAAGCATTTGGATGGAGGAGCCTTTTTAGAAGAGCAGCTCCGAATAGCAATAGTTTTAGTAGCAACTTGGCTGTGGGAAGGCGAGTGCTTCATTCACCGAATTCATGAATCCTGACAGAGCTATTGTACAGTCTCCCAGGGTGTGCACTTGACGAAACCGATGTCAGAGCTCAGAGTGTGCAGAGTGTCGTTTCCCCGATTTCCGCGAAGATCCCCGCAGCCCTAACTCCGCAAACTCGAGAAACGCAGAACCTACAAGCCTCAACGCTTTGATTCCCACAACCACACCAACCCATCAAGTCTGAGATAAACCCCTAACCCTAAAACCCTAAACCCTAAACCCTAAACCCTAAACCCTAAACCCTAAACCCTAAACCCTAAACCCTAAACCCTAGCCCGGCAAACAAAAACCCAAACCTTGGAGGTCCAGTGGGTTGTTCTGGGGTCCCTTTATACTTTTGAGGTCCTTTTGATACGTACGACTGCCGCACTATATTGGGGACCTAAAACGGGACGCTACTTTAGAGAACTACTCATATCACTCCGCACATCCTACGCACCCCCTCGAGCCTTAACTCTTTCGGCCCCAAAGCCGAAAGAAAGGCAACGTGTGAAGTCTTGTCATCTCATTCTTGTACTCCATCGTCTAAAAGTATTTACAAATACTAGTTTGGCGGGTCCATATTACTAAGAATTAGACTATCGATGCACTATAGGGGTCTAAATAATGACCAGAGGGTTCCTTATTCTAATTATGGTATAACATACCCCCAAAACCCCATTCGAATTATTAAGGGCCCCTATGTTAATCTGACCCTAAACCCTAAATCCCTAAACCCTAAACCCCTAAACCCATCAACACTGGAAAAAACAAGGAACCCAGGGAGGAGATCACCTTTGTACAGTCGAGCAAGTTATTTGCCTGTGGATCCTGGCATTAGGGTTTAGGGTTTAGGGTTCAGCGTTTAGGGTTTAGGGTTCAGGGTTTAGGGTTTTGGGTTTTGGGGGGGCTTTCCAAGCACTTGGAGTTTACAATAGGGGCCTGAAGAATTGCCAATACTATGTCATGGGTTCCGGACTATGGCTATGGTATAATATAACCGCAAAACCCTGTTCTAATTATTAAGGCCCTTATATTAGAGTTCTCGGTTTCGGATGTCCGGGTCGAGAAGGCTTCAGAGAGTGAAGGTGGCTTGCGGTTTGGGGAATTTGCAATTTGGGAGTTCCAGCTGTCGGAGATTTGTCGAAGTCTGGGAGCTCGGAGTTCAGTTTAGAGTGCTAGGGAGTGCGGTTCCCCAGAGAACCCAATACACCTTAATTTAAGGAATATACTTTAAATCATAATATTAAGACCCCTATAATTCAAGGGATATTCCTTCATTAAGGTGTATTGGGTTCTCTGAGTCTGAGGCTACCTAGAGTGCCAGGGAGTACGGTTTTGAGGCTACTTTTCCAGAGCCTATCCGGAGCGGCTTTCTTCCGGGGTGCCCTATCCCACCTTCTTGGGCCAGCTCTCCCTCCGAGCCTTGTACAGCCTACATCTGTATACCGAAAGCTAAACCGGGTTTAGGGTTTGGGTTTTTGTTTTGGGTTTTGGGTTTGGGGTGGGTCCATTATCCCAGCCTGCGCCAGCGTCCAGAACTGTTGCACGAGCCCCCTGAGGGGGCAACCTGACAGATCCCACGGCCCCATGGGCAAAAGTTTGGAGGGTTGTGAGGAGGGTTTTCTCACGAGCCTAATGGGTAAACTTAAACGTTTTTGGTATAGTAAACCTCTTCTAAAAGAAAAGTTTAAATTTTTGGGCCAGGATATTGGTCCTCTATGGTTTTGAGGAGGGTTGGCCCCCACGCCCTGCACCCGCAACCCCGACATCTTGACCGCCTATGTCCTGACTTCTGCACACCAGACAAGACAAGGACAGCATGCAGAGCAAAATTGTGACACATGTTCAATATAGTTACTATATGGGGGTTTCCGAAAATAGGGGACCCTAATATAGTACCCTAGATAATAGGATCCTTAATATAAGGACCACAAAATACGGTACCCCTAATTTTCGGAAACTCCCCTGTAGTTGCACCGGCCCTAAGACCTTAAAGAGCCCTCAGCCCTGCCATGCAAGTGTGTTTCCATAGGTCCCTGCTTCAGAACATCTCGGAGACAGTACCCAAGCCCTAAACCATTACAAAGCCCTTAGTGGCTGAGTAGGTAACCTTTAACCTTTTGGGGCTCATATAATCCTAGTATAATTGCAAAGGTTAACATTTTTTGGGCTAGGGTACTCAGCCCCTAAGAAGCCTTTCAAAACGCCAAAGAGCACCAATTCCTTGTAGGCGCTTAAAAGTCTACAAGTGGCGGGCCGATCGGAGCTGCTGATGGAAACTGAGTTGTCTACTGAATATTTAATGGTACTTCAGCTCTTATGGTGAGTCAGATAGGGGGCCAGGTGAGATAGAACGATGCAGTTTTCAGGGTCCCGGATTATGTTTGCAGAATACATCGCGGGGAGAAGCAACAGTTCAAGTCCCGGGGTGCTTTTATGTGTCTATAAGGGGAGGGCGGGGGGTGGGCGTCATATTTAAGGTAAAGGTTCCAAATGGGGGTTTCCGAAAATAGGAGACCCTAATATAGTACCCTGAATAGTAGGATCCTTATTATAAGGACCCCAAAATAAAGTACCCCTTACTTTCTCGGAAACTCCCATATGTAGGCCCTTCCGAAGCTTCCACATCTTCGGTTCTAGAGACGAAGCTTCAAAATAGTAGTCGTAAGAAGCATGAAAAAGAGTAACAGGGATAATGGTACTTAAAGAAGTAGTTATTGGTTTCAGTCATACTACGGCTGCTCTTTCAATAATGGTAAGAAGAGTTCTGAAGAATAAAGGAGAATAAGCACGCCGATACCCTTGGACTGTAGCTTTCACAGGAACTCACGATCATGTCCAGCTCTGGTAAGATAAAGACCACTCTCCGAGAGATCAGTGCATTTGTAGAAGAACAGACGCCACGGGTACAGTAAAAGAGCCCGAACATGAATAACCCAGCACATGTCGGGGAAAGCTGCTACATGATGGACATCATAGAAAGTTCTAGCGAGCCGCAGTCCATTACCCAACTCGCACAACCCCTGATTGCTGCTAAGGTCGATGATGTAGGGTTCAGGGAAGGACGGTGCACATGACCACTATCACCACGCTTCTCCTATGGTGATGCCGCAGCTCTCCTGGCTGGAGTGTTCTACATAAGGAGGCGACATGAGGCTATGATCCTGATTGTAGCTTATCGTTTGGTGGCCCCTAGAAAGGCCCCCCGTAGCATAGTCCCAACATATCCCTGACAAGGTTAACCTTCGCTCCCTTAGTAAATTGGTCAAGCCAGCATAATTAATTAGCAAAATTCGCAACAATATCCGTTATAATGTCCCCTTTTAGTCATTGGTTTGTACCGTAACCTTCATTATTCAAAAGGCCCCTATACTATCCCTCAAAGCATTCTACGGATTTCGACGGCCTTGCGCGCCTTCGACTCGATGGACCTTGCCTCCGTCATTCATTTCTCCGTCTCTGATTGCGGCCCGGGAAGCATTTGAGAGTCGGGATGGGGCTTATAGGTGCAAAGCTTGTTAAGGCCCTCGTAGAAGATTTCTATCAGAACCCCATCGAAGCCTGTCAAAACTATACTGAGCTCCCCCCATCTCCAATCTTTAAACTGTTGTGGCTCCTGTAGTCTGTTATTCTGGCAGACGGGTATTGAGGAACAGGCAAGGTGGTTCGACCATGCACTTGTAGCTAAGAGTATGTAGTTCTTGAAAGATTCGGATTTAACTTCGAGCTGTGTAGCGACACTAGGCGTTAAGGTTTCTGGCGCAGGTTTTGCTTCTGTCATGTTCCCGATAAACAGTTGGTGGTTGCACTGCGGCCAGTGCTTAAGGAAATGCTGCTGTAGTTCTTGTGGAGGCACTGCCTATGCCACTGGCTTTCGGCCGCACGCAGTCTGCATTATCCCTAAAACCCTAAACCCTAAGCCCGGACACGTATTGCCATGCCTGCTTTGCGAGCGCGTGAGTCGAAACCCTAAACCCACTAGTTTTTGGTATCCTTTCAACATCCGAAGCCCGAAGCTTCGCGACACTGTCGGGGGGCCAGGTTTTGGTGTTGAGTATCGACAGGCACAGGTTGAGAAGGAGCGGACATCCTGGCTTAGAACGATGTAGGGTG